ATGTCACTCAGCTTATTTTATCTGCAAAAGTCAAAAAGGGTCTTAAATGGAAAGACGTTGCAAATACAATTGGTTTATCAAAAGAGTGGACAACCGCAGCTTGCCTTGGACAGATGACATTAAACAAAACGCAAGCTGAACAAATCGGTAAAATTTTTGAACTATCAGACGAAGCCATCGCATGGTTACAAATTGTGCCACATAAAGGTTCATTATCTGGTGCACCAACCGATCCATTAATTTATCGTTGGCATGAACTTGTGAGTGTTTATGGTGACACTATCAAAGAGTTGATCCATGAAGAGTTTGGCGATGGGATCATGAGTGCAATTGATTTTTCAATGAATATGAAGAGAGAACCCTGAATCCAAAAGGTGAGGTTCGTGTTGTATTTCGGTAAATTTTACCGTATAAGCAGTATATACTTGAATTCAACAACGAAGTACAATCTTATTTTGTATTGTTTGAAAAACATTCGTCGCCATGGCGAATGGTAACTCTTGATTAAATATTTATTCTATCCATATCATTCTAATAGATTTCGTAACGGCGGATTGTCATTGACTAAATCAAATAAAGTATAGTTTTCTAGCTCTTGTAAAAATGCCTCTTTAGCTTTGACTAAATAGCCTTTTAGTCGACAAGCTGGGCTGATAATACACGCATCAGGTGAGCAGTTAAGTAATTCAAGCGGTTCAAGTTCACGAATTACCTTACCGATATTGATATGTTTGGGTAATAATTTTAAGCGGATCCCGCCATTTTTGCCTTGAACGGTATCAATATAACCAAGTTGCCCTAAACGGTGAACAATTTTGACTAGATGGTTGCGTGATATTTGATAGTGCTGGCTCACGGTTGTGATATTACTTAAAGTGCCTTGTTCTATATTAGCCAAATAAATAAGCACACGAATACCATAATCAGTAAAATTTGATAATTGCATACTTACCCTCTCCAATAACTTTAAATATATCAATAGATTACATTGGTATGATCAAGCCATACAATATAAACATATTTTATGGCGTTTTACCTTATATAAAACAGATCAAAAAATCAACCATATCATGCAATATCTTATGAATAAAAATGAGTAAGAAAAAATTAACTTAATGAGACTTCGATATCTGATTTAATGCTGCTCACACAGGCCAAGCGATAACCTTGATCAATGTCTTCTTGGCTTAGACCTAACATTAATGAAGATTCAACTTCTCCCTTAATCACTTTACATCGACATGCACCACAAACGCCGGCACGACAAGCTCCAATAATAGGTAGTTGAGCCGATTCTAATGCTGAAAGTAAATTATCATCAATATGTGCTGTTTGCTCAATACCAAAATCAGGTACTGTGATGGTAACAGTCGCATTGATATCTTGATTTTGTGGCGCTTGTTCTACAGGTGTAAAATTTTCATAATAAAACTGCGATAAATCAAAGTTTAATTCGGTAAGCGCTTGTTTTATTTCCTGCATAAAGCGAGTTGAACCACATAAAAAGATAGTTGATTCATGTAAGTTAGGGTAGTTTTGGCGTAAAAAATCTGCATTAACTCGACCTGTTGAATAATTACTAACTGAAAGTGCAGGGGATAACTGTTTTAAACTAATATGATAGTTAAACAGCGGATTATGTTGTGCTAGTTTTATCAGTTCTTGATGATAAATTATATTTTCTTCATCATAAGCGCAGTGTATATATTCAATTTTTACGGGTGGCAGATTATGCTGATCCATTTGTTGTAATAGGTATTTTGCCATAGCCATAACGGGCGGCGCACCACATCCAGCACTGAATAAAACAATTGATGATTTATAAGGGTGATCGATAATATTAAATTCACCAGCAATACTATCAAGTTGGATATTATCGCCAAGTTGCAATGAGTCAATTAACCAATTTGATACCAGTCCATCTGTTACACGTTTAATGGTAAATTTTATATACAGATCATTGGGTAATGAGTTTATTGAGTAGGCTCGAGTATGTTTTTTGCCATCAATCATCACTGATAATAATGCAAATTGACCGGGTTTAAAATCAAATGGTGTAGCAGGTTTAAAAACAAAACTAACAGTATTAATATGTTTAGTATAAACGACAATTAAATGTTAATTCATCTGGATATCGTGATACTTCCTGATAAATAGCAAAATATTTATTTTGCCAGGAAAATAATAAGGAAATTATCGACTATACTTATTCCACTCGAACGTGCCGTTTGTCAACAAGTTAGCAAGTGAAAGAAGAAGGAGATAAGGGTTGAGGTAAGGTACTTTTCCCCTTGTTTAACTTGGTTATGTCAATAACAATTTTTTAATATCGCTGATCAAGTCTGCGAAATTGTAAACTAATTAATTTAGTCCACATTATATTATGCTGCGGTTAGGTGCTAGATTGGTGGCTAAATCGTTTTCTACTGTACCTGTCGCACGAATATCAAATTTTTCTTGCAACAATGCAACTAAATTATCAGTTAAGAATGCCGGCATTGATGGGCCGGTGTAGATCCCTTTTACACCTAATGAAAGTAGCGTTAGTAAGATTACAATCGCTTTTTGTTCAAACCAAGATAATACTAACGTTAATGGTAATTGGTTGATATCACATTCAAATACTTCAGATAACGCAATCGCCAATTGAATTGCAGAATAAGCATCGTTACATTGACCAATATCAAGCAAACGAGGAATACCATTGATATCACCAAAGTTAAGTTTGTTAAAACGATATTTGCCACAGCCAAGGGTTAAAATTACACTGTCTTTTGGTACTGCATTGGCCATATCAGTATAGTAATGACGTTCAGTTTTAGTACCATCACAACCACCAATTAAGAAGAAGTGTTTAATGTTACCCGCTTTGATTTGTTCAACAACTTGTGGGGCAGCATTCATTAACGTGTTGCGTGCAAAACCAATGGTGATCATGTGTTCTATTTCAGTATAAGCAAAACCAGCTTGTTGTTCGGCACATGCAATGACTTGACTAAAATCATCACCTTCAAGGTGAGTGACACCCGGCCAGCCAACAATACTACGGGTGAAAATTCGCTCTGCATATTTACCGATAAATGGATTGATAATACAGTTTGATGTCATCACAATGGCACCCGGAAATTGAGCAAATTCGGTTTGTTGATTTTGCCATGCACTACCAAGTTACCGACTAAGTGTTTATATTTTTTTAGTTCAGGTACTTGCTGGTAACATTTCGCCATGAGTATAAACATTAATTCCTTTCCTTCAGTTTGTTCTAGATACATAACCGTTGGGGCAATTTATGTTGGTGGCTGTAATTTTGAATCAAGTTACATTATTCACATAATTTTATAAAAAAGTGACTTAATTAGTTTTTTAAAAGAATTTCAATAATTAATTGAGAATATTTCTTTTAACCAGTGGCAATTAAAACAAACTTAGTATCGAAGCAGTGTACAGAATAAAATGATTTTTATGTAATCAATCAAAAATATTTTCGTTTATTTGTAATGAAAATGCACTGTTCAGAGAGAAAATATGGGAACATCGGTCTTGTACTAAATTTAATGGCGCTAAATTATAACAGATACTCGTACCTCAGTTCCCAGCTGCGCGGCCAGGTAAAATGTATTAAGTGAGCCTGCAACTCGAGTTGAAACCGAATATTGCGTTCACAGTGCGGAATCAAGAGACGGTGCGAGTTCGCAGCTACAGAGAAGAACTCGAAGATAAGCGACTAAACACTTTAAAGAACACATAAAATAAAAAAATTTTTTATAAAAAAAATCAAAAATATTAGAAAAAGACAAAAGCGAAGTCATTAGTAAAAGTAAAGACGAGGAAAGACAACTATGGAAATTATGAAACTTTGAAAGTGGGTGTTCACCAGCGAAACCTGCTTATTAAACACACTGAAAAATTATGAGAATTCTAAGAAACTAAAACACAACATCATTGGCTGCACATTCATCTGCGTGTATTGCATGTTCATGTAACTGCATGTCTTATTCTGTCCTTACCTTGTAGATATGAGATCAGTCACTCGATGTTTAAAAAGTCAGGTATCAATTAGGCCGCAAGTGCAATTGTAGCGCATCAGACATACGAGTGAGAACGCAAGTATGCTGTTGTGTGTATAGGAAAGTGCAGAGGAATATATCCAGGGAATCAAAGATAAATACATATCAATGAGATATTCTCATATTCTCACACGCACAAGTGGAATATGCAAAGGAGATGAAGAGGGAAAATCCCAAAAATTATCAATCGCAGCAATAGAAACTGTGTTGAGCGTAATTCCAAGAAGTCTGGCAAATGCCAAGTGCCAAATGATTTTAGAAGAAAGAAACTATCTATTCTCTTATCGTTGTTTGTGTAATGTAAATTTGGTAATTAGGCTAAGCAGACTAAAAGTAATTAGTGTTTAGACTTGGAATGCCAAACAAAGCCTAGAAGCCGTGACCAGTGTACTATGGACCATTGTGTCACAATAATGCCATTCAAATGAATATATAAAATCAAACACTTGTACATATATATAAAAAAGTATATAATATCCATATATACCATTAGTAATATTATATACATGAATGTTTGGTCAGAGAGACAGAGATAACTGCTCATTAGGTTGAGGTCATTTTTACAAACCGTTTAGAATAGATACGTATTGGTCGCTTGACTGATAATAGAAGGATAGACTTTAAATAGTACGCTCTTCAATAATACAGCTTTGTAGATAAGAACAATATTTATGTAAAGATTTAAACAAGAAAGAATCAACAAGTAATTATAGATATAGCTTCATAAAATATTTGATTTGATTAATATAATAATAAGTTTGACGATTTACGTGTTTAGGGTCTAAAAACGACCCTAAAAATCTGAATGCAATCACTTAAAGTAATAAAGTTGAGTTGTTTATGGTTCATTTAATTTGTACTTATTTAAAACGCTGTAAATTTTTTTTTGAAATTGAATTTTACAATTAAAATTTTAATTAAGTTTCTCGAGTTCTTTTCGAATCTCCAATATGGCCGACCCAGCTTGGTCGTCCTTCCAAGTTTCTTTAAAGCGGATTGCAAATGTAATGACTTAAACACAAAATAGACTAACAGTTAATTTTATAAGGTTCACTTTGTTTGCTGTTTATGTTTTATTATTAATTTACAGTGTAACAGTGGGCTTAGAGTCAGGGGCTGTAGTAGGCTCCAACACCACAGCACGTTGCTTTCCATTTAAGATACTTTACTTATATGTTTGTTAACCGCTTTTTGATCATTTATGATTTGGTATGCTACTTAGTTACATAGATTATAAGTTTATTTCATTGTAACGAGCGATATGTAACTGGCAGCAGACAACTTACCGTCAGCCTATCTTTGCAGTGCAGAGAATTCAAAACTTAAAGCCTTAGTCCACATTATCTTTTTATTCCTAGCTTTGCATAAAGAGTTTTTGATGAATATGGAGTTTGCGTAACCCAATTTGCCAATCATTCCAATCTTTCCAGTCTGCCAGATATATAAAAATATAACATATTACTTCTAATTGACCACTGAGCGAATGACCTCTCCAAAATAAAAGTAGTATAAAGTGCAAGGTTGCACAGTCTACTTAAATTGAGAAGTGGATTTCGGTCGTATGAAGGAACGTGTATACTGATTATATTAATACAAATATATCACCATATGAAAGCTTGACCTATGCCTAGAGTTCCGCAACACGCTGTGATGCAGTCTGTTTAAAACTTTTAGTGAAAATATTTAAGCGTGCGTTGACTTGACTTGTTCCTAAGCCCGTATATAAAATAATGAGTTCAAGTCTGATTGACCAGAGTTACATGGATTGATTTCTTTTAGTAAAAATGTTTAATCGGCTGTAGAATTGATTTGTGGCTAAGCATCCTTACCCTTATACAGTGCCTTTCTAACCAAGCCTGAGTAAGCGGAGGAGCAAGTATACCTATTTATTGGAATTGTAATGTTTCACAGTCTCTAGGCTTGACTTATGGGTAAGCCCACACATGATATTGTGTCTTCCTAATTACACTGATTTCTATTGGCGGAAATGTTTCACTGTCCCTAGGATTGACTTGTGGCTAAGCCCTTCATCATAATGTTGTGTCTCATTTATCTAAACTTCTAAATCAAAATTTTTTTAGTAGAAATGTTTGATTGCCCCTAGGTCTGAACTAAGGCAAAGCGGGCACATCCCGATATGACTCCTTTACTTCAGCAGGTCTCACCGGACAAAGGAGTGTGTAAATTGATTTTTTTTAGTGGAAATGTATCATTAACCTGTAACTACACCTTAAGGGTTGGGTATAGCCCTATGTAATATTATTAGGTTTGCTCTCGCTTTAGAGTAAACGAGTGAACTTTACAATTCCTTTTTAGATACTTTATGTATTAATATTTGCAAATTTGTACTAAAGAAATATGTTTTAAAAAATCATAATAATTTAATAAGCGTCACTAGAAAATGTAATTGATATTTAATTAAATTTTTGTGGATATTTTTTTAAATATATATTAAAAAAATTATTAAAAATATTAAACAATATTAAACCATTTTTTCAAAATTAAACAGGAAAGTTTCTCAAGTGTGTAACGCTTCCGGTTGAATGAAAAGTGAAACCAATTAGCAAAAGTTGCCCATTTTTTTAAGGACACAAAACTCTGTGATCAAATTTGGGCTGCTTAAAAAAAAAATTGATGTACGATAAAAAGAGATAAAAATAAATATTATAATAAACATATATAGGTTCTGTACAGTAGCTGAGAAAAAAACATGATTTGTCTCATGTTAAGCAGAAGCCAAATCAATAACAACTTCAGCTGAGATTTTAAGTGACACAAGTGAAGAGATAGATACACTTTCCTCTAAGAAACCAAAGTTTAAGACTCATTAAGTCAAGGTAAGCAAAAACAGACTAAATGAAGTTGTGCAGAGATTAGAGAATTTTATTAAGTGAAAGACAAAGTTAGAAAAAAATGTTATTGGCTCGAAAAAATTGCCGATCTGCCAAAGCAAAATATCGAATTACGCCGACACGTACATTATGAGATACGGAGTCCAGCAACAAAGTTTGAGCCACAGCCCGAACTCAGAGCTGAGCTTCAATACATTTAGTACAGCAGCTACTTGTGTGACGAAATGTGTGAGATATTTTATGCTTAGCTGAACTACAGATTCCTATTGAGATAAACAAAGCTTTAACAAGACGCAACAGCAAACCATAAAGTATCTCACTTTTGTATGTTAGTTGGCGCTGCAGATACTCTTAGCTGCGTAGCTGTATAGCTGTACCTGGCTAAGCTGTGCTGTTGCTATTTGCCTGTTTTATAGTTATAGATTCAACAAACTAGTGTACGTGGCTGGCCATTCTGTTTTTTTTATGTTTATGCTGATCTATCTATCGAGCTCTCTATCTGCCAGTTTGTTCCTATTTACTTAAATATGTTTCGGTTTGCTAAAGTTGTTTATTTTTCCCAATTTTTTTTTTAGTTTTTATTTTGAATATTCACAAATTACTTGTTGTTCGGCATAAAAGCGTCTAAAACCGCTGACATTTATAAAGCAAACAAATGTAATATAATTTTAAATTTAAAATTTTAAACTTTAGTATTATAAAGCACAACAGCTTCTTGCACATAACCGACCAAACTAAGTCAGGCAGCCCAAAGGAGTTTGGAAAAAAATTACCAAACTCAGCAACCTTAAAAAGGCGAACGGCAAAGACAAATGCGCGGGTTGTGTCCGGCAGCGTAGAAATAAGACCTTAAAGTCTTGCAAGTTTGCTCGGTGGCCACTACCCGCTGCTGCCGCTGCAGAGAGAATGCAAGATGAAATGTTACTAAGTTGGCATTAAAACTTGGACACCCAAAAAGCGAAAGTCATCATTCAAAATGTGTTATCCCGGCTGTGCTGCGGTTGTGTCTATGGCTCTGTTAGCCATTAGCCAAGTGTGCAAGACAGTCAATGTCTTCGTAGTTGAACTTGACATAGGCAAAAGGATAAAGTGAAGTGCGCACATCTGCTCGTCTGTAGTAGTCCACGTTGTGGACGTTCTACTTTATTTGT